TGTTAAACTTATATTAAAGTTTTTCTTCATTACCCATTTAAGCCGTCTCCAGCCATTATTAGTCTCAAAGTGGGTTCCTCGTCATCGAACTAGGAATAAAATGTTCTTGAAGTACGAAATACATAAATATTGACCTATTTCCAAATTCTACCTACATTTGTAAAGTACGTGTCACTGAAGTATTTTTCTCTTTTTAAGTTTAAAGTACAAAACAGTCCTACCCAACAAAAATAAGATAGAAATATTTATTTTCACATTTAAGGGATAATTAAACAGGAAAAACAATGAGTTGGTCTTGAGTATAAATGTAAAACACCACCAGGTTACTACTCCTAAAGTTTACCAGTTACTTGTCAAATCCATTTACACTGCATCTTTTAATTACATATATTGAGCACATAAATATTTAAATAAATGCTATATTACAGTGGTAACTTTAAACAATAATGCACCTGAAAGCTATAATGTGTGAAAAAATACTTTGTTTAAACACTAAGATAAAACAGAATGTGGTAAAGCTAATCTTGTCAGAGTGTTATCTTTTTGAAAAATCAAAATACACAAAAATGTATACCACAATACTAATTATTTTATAACTCTGCATACAAACATTGCTTAAAAGGCATCCACAAAAAATATTCAGATAACCCAAAAGGAAATAGTGGTGAATAAAGAACAGATAAAAGCTTGAAGTTTCTGTAACACACCTTGTTTTATTCCTGATAACTAACTCATGTGTGAATCATATACCACAATACTGATTGGTGTGTATTTTATTAAAACATACACCTTTTTTAACTGTGTCATATCTAAAGTCTGTTGAGACTATTTAGCTTTCCAGATAAAAGTATTACTCATAATGTTTTCAACTGGTGATGTACAGAGTGTAATATAAAAGATGTCTGCTCTTACTAGACAGCTCCAAAATCTAGTTCTTTGTTGCTCAGAGTATAGGAACTGTTATCCAATCTAAGCAAATATGTTCCATATTCAAAAATGATTACGAGAAATATCTCAGTAATGCTCATCTAACATGTCTGACTGAAAAAAACACAATATGACACAAATGATGGCAAATTAAAAAAAATAATTTCAAATAAGATGTTGAGGACAGGTAAAAAGGAATACATTTTTGTTGTATAACCAAAATATTACTTTTTTCATTCTTTCAAGTGATATTTAATTGATATAAGTTGTAAATATGTAATAATAAACTTTTATGAAAAAATACTTTTTATGCTTAAAGCTCGATATCAATCGAATATAAAAAAGTAAACTTCATTCCTCATTATCAGAAAAAAAATTACTTGTAGGACTGCAAAAGCCATGGAAACACAATATCACGTAAGTTAGCATACTTCAGGCTATAATTTATCTATAGCATAGTATTGGGTATGCAGACAGTTAAAGAGAGTCTGTAATGAGATGTTTTTATGGTAATTTTTAAACAATTTTAAAAATACTTTATACTATTTGGAATTTCAAACAAAGCATAAAATTATTAACTATATTTTACATTTACATCATTTCAGTTTCACATGTTAACAAATTCATGTAGCTACATTCAAAATGTAAGATACGCCAATTTCTGCAATTCATTCCCCCTACATTTTCATATATGTTTTTCATTCTGAATCTAATTAAATTTATATTTCAACCTGACACTTGACATCTCAATTGAAGTGTTTTGTTTTAAACATTCTGAAAGTGTTTAGTACAGTATTTTACACAGTTATCTCAAATACTAAAGTTGATAACATATGTCTGTTAAATTTGTCGAGGAAGATCCTACCTAACATTAACCCAGTTTGTTCATCATAGCTTGCAATGGAATAGAACTCTCTTAACATCCCTTTGTGGTTGTAAAATCTGTTGGCTCAACTAAGTTTTATAGCATAATTGACTGAAGGTCAACCTAAACATTTGCTGATGTACAATCATTCTCCAACAATTTTATTTTTAGATTTATTGAACTTTATCACAGTTGGATAAAAGATTCTACTAGAAATTTATTTATTTATATATACATGACCTCTTTTTATGAACATACTGAGCAACAGTTATTTTCGCTAAATATGCTCCTGTTAAAGGCTGAAAATATAAGCAGCTGAGTAATCTTTACTGAACTTGTATTTCTCCTCACTTACAATAATCTTGATAACTGGAAATAGATTTATACATTCTACTCTTCTTGTATGCTATTTTAAGGAAACTGCAGTAAACATTATTTGATTCTAGCATGCCACAGATTGTATCAATGCAGAACTGTGTGCCATTTTACATAAGGCAGCAGCAAGCAGGCACCGACTGTGATAAGTTGGTAAGTGAGGAAGTGTCGATCTTTCTTCCACCCACAGGCCTAAGAATGTGTCAAGAAAAGATTCAAGCAGTCATACTGATTATGTAATTCTTTCAAAATTCCTAAAAAAACAACTTTTATCCACTCCAGATACTACAAATATAACACTGGATTTTTTTTGCTCTATACACACACAAAAGGAGTTTCCAAAGCCTAACTCCAATAACAAACCCGTAATGCTTCCAAAAAATATTACATAACAATTTCGTTATCATAACCACTTTAGCAAATAAGAACTCACCTGTGCATGAGAAATTAAAGTATAAAAAAAACTCAAATTTTAATATTTTACAAACCATGATTGCTGTAACATACAATAAATATTTTTGTAAGCATTTATAAAATAAAGTAATTAGTCAATTATAATTCATGTATTCACATATGGAATTTAAAAAAAGGTAGTTTGAAGAATATTCCAGAACATTTTCAGAATTCAGTAAAAATTTACCCATTTTCTACAATAAACAGATCGTATAACGCATCAAAATGCATTGTTGTAAAATAGTGTTTACTAATAATGCTCTCATCGTCATGCACTTGAAAGTTATAACAACTAAATATAAATAACCAAGATAAATTTTGTGCAAGAAATGAACTGATTTTTGATCTGTGAATTAAAAATTTATAGCATTTTCATCCAAATTAATTTTATTTCTAATTATTATTTCCTAGGTTATGGTATATAGCTCATGTGAGTAATGGCCTTAAATCTGGAATGTTTACTCACATCATAATAGGCAGATCCCCCCCCCCTCCCCCATCAGGAATGACATTACAAAAATGACTGTTTTACAGCTTTATCTTTACATATTGCAATCTATGCTAAACTTTGACAGTGAAATTTTAAAGTTAGATTCCAATATCCTGGCATTCAAGAGAAAAGAGACTTACTCTTTTGAGTTGGAATCCACATGTATCTTGTGAATAGCAGTATCTCCATTAGAATTTTCAAATGCTGCTTTGTCTTTTTCAAATTGTTTTCTTTTTTCTTCTATCTCATTCTTCTGCTGTTGTAAGGTCTTAATCATTTGTTCATGTCTACACTGGAGCTGTTATTAAGTGAAAGAAATGGGTATAATTCCTTATAATGTAGAGAGATGTTGAAACTATCATTGAAAACAAATCTATCCTGAGATGGGAAACACGGAATGCTTAGGAGAAGAAAAACTAGAAAGAGACATTTCAGAAATTTCTATGAAACATAGATCATCATAAGGGGAGAAAAATATCCTATATATCATAAATATGCTTGTTAATTTTTTTTATTACTTACATCTTTTTCTGAATCTTTCAATTTCTGCATTTTTTCTCTCACTTTTACTTCAAAAACTTGTTCCATTTCCTTCTCCATTTTCTCCATTTTTAATTCATGGTCTTTCTTTTCTTCTTCCAATTGTGAAAGAGGATTTCTTATAGGTAAAATAAAAAAGTATAATAAAAAATTTAATCGTACAGTTAACAAGAATGATTTAAAAATTATAAAATGTCAGTAATGGAATGAAAGTGTACCTTTTTATTCAGCATTATGAAAAGTAAACATCTTGTTTAATAGTTCTTGCTTTAAATTGTTCTCTGCAGTACTCTATAAACATTTTTTACAGTTTGTGGTTTGCATCTGATTTCTGATCATTATTTTGTTAATTAATAACAATCAATCTAAATTTCTATATAAAACACCTTCAGGTTAGTCTTAAACCTCTATATCTTTCATAGTCGAATTTAGAATGAATGGTAGAACCACATTTATATATAATGAAGTATATTTTTAAAGTATTTTTTGATAAAACCTTAAAAAACACAAACACTAATAAAACGTTAATTGTAAGTCATTGATTAATATTTCACACCCAGCAACTGAATAGGAAGAGATCATGCACTGAAAATGCTCAAAGTTGGTTCTTTATAATGATACAGAAAGGATAAATACAAGACAGTTTTACAAGTACTACTATAAGAAAAGTCTTTAGCTCTCTATCAAACATTTCTTATAGAATTTAAGATCAATTCAGTGAAAAAAAAATATATATAATGCAATAAAGTTTCCAAATATACACTGAAATCACCAAGAAAACTAAAACAAACTTGACCACTTTTTTTTGTGGTTCCCAGAAGGATAATTAAGCTGTAAAGTGGTGCAGAAGTAAAAATCCAAAACTTTCTAGTGTAGCAAAATTAAAAGTTTAGAACACACTCTAAAAGAGTAGTTTACTTCTCTTATTCATAACTTAATGGTTATAAATTTCTCAGCTGGAAGTTTTCAAGAATTTTAAATTAAGTTATTACCTATACTTTCAAATTCTTGAAAGTGGTCAGAATGAGAAACAAATATATAAAATGAACATGGTCATAAAGACTAACTTGTTTGGTATGGCACTTGAAATGCCATCTGCTCCAACACCTGCAAGCTTTAGGCATCTGTAGTTTTCATAATGAACATTATTGGTAACATCCTTCAGATCTTGCATGTGTGTCCTACGGCACAGTTATGATTTCAATCAATCCTGATTCAAACACTAACTATGTGACTTTTATTGGTGTAACAAGAAATGCACAACAAAGACATTTTTTACTTTACATTATATTTTTTGGCATTATCTATTTCTTGTAAAATGATAAATCCAGTAAGAAATGTATGCTAACATGTCTCTTGAAAATTTAATTAAAGTTATGGAAGAAACAAACACATCTACTACTCCAGTATGCATTATGTTCTCAGCTATTCAGTATTTTGAAAAACAAATTAAACTATTAATAATGCTTGAAAATGTCACAACAGTGTAATAGTCATACTATAGTAACTTTTTTGATTTACTTATATAAATATCACACCGTATTCTGGCCCGGAGTTAGACAATATGTTTTATTAAGCTGTGACAGCATCCCTTTTAATAATAACATAACTTTTATGATATTAACAAGTTTCAAGATAATCACACAAAAAATAAAACAAAAGCAAAGTGCTGGATTGGAGATTTTATCAACACTGATTGAAATGCAAGAAACTCTGGGTTTAGAGTATTTTTTCAACACCATTCTGTACTTTATCATGTTAGTGTTGCACAATGTAAAACATCTTATAACTTACAAAGAGTGTATTAGTCTTGGAAATGAAGAAATATTAATCAAAAATGTTGTTAAGTTAGACTTTACACGATAAATCAACCAAGTTCAATTTAATTTGAGCTCGTAAGCTGTATCATAATTATAAACACTCCTCAGCTGAATTATAAAACATCTAATTATATTAAGTTTGATTAAAAGATACAAGTTTTACAAAATACAAATCATAAATTATAAAAATAAACTGCAATAATTATGGCACAATAGATTGACACAACTAAATGACTGTCCTTTAACCTTAGTTTGGATGTGAATATAGACTCAAAATGGGAAAAAATCAACATAATCTGACTCATTTGGTCTAAACTTTATCTTCAAATCAAACCACACTACTCACCTGATCAGCATATTTCTCAAAGCAATAAAATCACAATGTTCCAAATTCTCCACTATTAAAAAATACTTCAATTAATAAGATATATTTGTTATTAAACCACACATTTCAACATATAACAAGAATGATATACATTACAAAAGATTCCTGCTTTGTTTAGTTAATGTTCATGTTAAAAGATACCCTGTCTGCTTAAGAATTATCTATGGTAATTCTTACCTGAAAAACAATAATTAAAAGCTATTAAATAATCTAAAATAAGGATATAATATTAAAAAATAAAGACTGTAAAAAAATACAATAGATTAAAAATATTCTTTAAAAGAATAAACTTGGTTGAATATTTTAGCTCATAAACTATCAATGCATAGGTTATTCTATTGAAATGGTGAACAAGTTTTGCCATTTGTCACTCTATTTTCTATATATATAAAGACAAAAAGCTGTCCATCTGTCACACCGATATCTTGGCCATTGTGGTACCAATCGACACAAAACAACAGCACTTTCTTCCAGCCATATATATACAAAACGGATGATGTGCTACTTTGGGCATATAATTAGATTTGAGGGTAGGTTGGAAGAGATCATGGTGAGTAATAACATTGAACTGTGTATATGCATACCCCATGCTTGGTATTGCTGGCACACAAAAATCATAATCATAGATTGAAATTCCCCATTACATTTGCTTGGTTGTCAAGGAGACACACTGACGCAACATCACCAAATTTTGTCCAATCAAAACCCTTGGATACAACTCTATAATAACCTGCATGTCTTATCCACAGCACATTTCAATTTTGAAAATGCCCATATTTAAGTGCACTTTTTCAGCTCAGCAGACTAACAAAGTCAAAAACCAGGAAGACAGTCCAAAAAGAATATCCCAAAATTCACAATAAACTTCACTGCCTTTCCATCACAATTAATAATTTGCAGGGTCATACAGTTGACCAAGTAGGAGTACGTCTTTGAGAAATCGGTTTTTTTGCATATTTCAGTCTCTAAGGATTTACCAAGAACATATGAACATAACTTAAAAATATACAGAAGTCCAAATGCTAATCAAGCAATACTTAAAGGAGATGACCAAATATATGTAAACAAATGTTGTTTTCATGAAATACTAGAAACAAGATAGTTATTCTCCATACACATATTGTTACTAGATTATAATTAATTCTTAGAAAACATGTTCATACAACATTTATTTAGATATAACTTTGAGAAGAAAAATTAATCATTATTTCCTGTCATATGATGGGCATTCAGCTTGTTTCTTAATATATTTTATTGTCAGGTCCTCTTACAAATGGAAAACACTAGTTTGCTCAGACTAACTCTAAGAGACTAAATGTAAGCCTAATCTTACAGAAATTTAGAAGTTGTATCAAGCTGATGCATCAATTCATCAGCTAAACTCAAGAACTTTAACATTTTAGAAAACTAAAATTTCTCCAAAAATAGTTAAAAAATGGAAAATTAGAGCTACAAATGATCTATATATATTAAGTAAATGACCATAAAGATGGATTTTTCTTATAACTGCTATTTTTTTTTCTATTTAAATTTTTGAATTATATTTATAAGTTTGACTCTGTGTTTAAAAAAAGGAATACATTTAACATCATCTGGTGACTTTGATATTTTCAACAGAGAAATGACACAATATCTGGTAATGGAGAATATTAGTTGCTCACAGTTTTGATCATTCTCCCTAAGTTAAGATGGTATCTTAATTATTATACTTTTATGAGAGACATAATATTCATTAATTTAGAAGATTTTACACTAAAAGTCAGGAGAATATGATAGAGAAGAAATTCAATAATTATTAATATAGTAAATTTACCTTCTACTATTCCCCAGGGATACTTTCTTCCTCGTACCTTCTTCCCATTTACTTCAATTAAAGTGTTACTCCCTACCACTGCAAATGGCACTCGAGCCTAATTAAAAAAGGGAACTTTTCAATGTACATATTTATGAAAATACTAAACATAAATTGAACTGATTAAGCAATGGGTAAAACTGACTTCTAAAAACACTAGTTTCATAATTTTATGATGCTATTAAATATACTTTTGAGTTTATTATGATGAGATTTGAAATTTATTTCTGATATTTAACATAAAAAGAGTACAAGCTATCTAGAGAAACAATATTTTATAGAGTCAATATGACTCGAAATTTAACGGATATACCCAAATTCTGAACACAATTGGAGACTTAAAAATACTAAACACTCACAAAAATCCTCCCAAATTTTTCCCTTCAGCAGTTCAAAATCTTCTTTCCATAAATAAAGAATCATATGATGAAAGGTACAGAAATGAAAAAAAAACCACATGGTTTCCTAATAAATTCAAGTATTTAGAAAGTTATTTTATATGTTCATGGAAGTTGATAATATTCACAATCAAAGTTTTGTTTTCTTGCAGTAAAGTTATGAAGGAATAAACTTGTTATTGAACTTACTTTCATAAGCTTATGTGACTTTTTTTCTTCTTCATCATCACAGTCGGGAAATTCATAAATCTTTATTTTATTTTGTGCTATCTCATTAAGTATCTGAAAATATTTAATCATTAGAAGAAATCTCATCTATCAAAATATTGTATTAACAATGAAGTCATTTTATTTCAACTATGATAATAAAATAGTGATAGAGAAATGAACAACAAAACCATTGATAATAAAAGAATTTAAAACAACTGTTAACATTAAGAATAATTCTGCTGACCAAATGAGTCTAAATTTTTTAGTCAATATCATTTTTTGAAACATATAAAATAAAAAGCATATTGAGTTTAAAGGTAAATAAATTAGACCTGATTAATAAAATTATTGTTTTTACAATTAGAACATTCTTCAAACTGAAAGTATTTTTCTCATATTTCATCATAAATCAAAAATTTTAATATTTAAACAAATTTACAATTACAGCAATAGTAATCACAGAAACACTGCACAAGGAAATAATTGGACAATTTAACAAGTGTTAAGAAAAGTACAATCTTGGTTTCAATATATCTGTAAACTTCACCTGCCTGAAGATTACTTAGCTAAATAACATTTTGGTGTTTTTGCTGAGGTATTTATCAGACCTATCCAATTTCTGCAAAACATCTGTTATAATAATATTCAGTTTTTGTCTGTCCTAAAAATGCACATGTGCCTTGTAATCAAAGTACACAAGCACATACACCTCATTTCAACAGATGTAAATATACTTTAGTAGACATTTTGCATATTAAAAAGTTATCAAAGTTTTTAAAAAGGTCTAAGGCTAGTTTGTAGAATAATATTATAAGTTTATTTATTTATAGTATTAAGTATGGTAACGTTTAACCCTAACTAAATTAAAGCAAAAAACTTACACAAGTTACAGCATTAATTTATCTCTTCATTGAATATAAACTGTACTTAATAAAGGCTTAATTAATGTTAGGCCTAAGACAAGTGGACTTAGGTTTTAGCATCTGTGACTCTAATTCTCTTGTATTATTCTAGAAATCCTGTATTTAAAGTACTGTTGCATAAAGATACTAATCTGACCACAAATATGTTTCAGTTCTCTGCTAGCACTTATACAATTTAAGCATGTTGCAAGTTTTCATTTACTAACCAAGTACTTAAATTGTAAAAATCTCCTCCAACAGTACTGAAAATACAGAGCTCCAAAAATAAAACTTTTTAAAATGCATTCCACAAAATGAAGAGTGTTTCATATTATTTTGGTTTATTTTCTTATTTAAACATTCATTTAACTCAAACATTTCCACTTAACCTACATATATAAAAATTAAAAGTAAATCCATTACTTTAAAGATATTCTAATGTTGTCTAAAAATGGGATATTCCAATAATACTATAGATTATTTAATCTTAGAAAAGCTTGTTCATATTATTTGCTTGGTTATCATTTGTAACATCAAACAGACCTACAGTATACATAGATGTTAAACCTAAACAGTTGAATATGTTATTTTGAATGGCATCAAGTCAATTTCATTATTCCATGTCTACAAGTAATTTTTTTGTCAAAAAATAACAGTTAGTTACTTCTTGAGCTCTAACTTAATTATAACTTGGTATTAAAAAAATTGGTTTTCTTATACACGGTGTTTTTTAATGTAAAAAAAATAAGATAACAGCATAACTTAATTCACAAGTGATATTTTGCCCAAAACAAAAACTATAAGTAAAACATTATAAAACTGTTTATAAAATTATTATCATAAAACCTTAAAACTGGTAACTGACTTACTGTCCTTTTAAAAAGAGCACACTCTTCTGATGTCATTGTATCAGCTTTGGCTATCAGAGGAATGATGTTGACTTTGTCATGTATCCTCTTCATAAACTCAATATCAAGAGTTTTTAACCTACAGTGATTAAAAGCTAAGGTATTAAAACAAAATTCATACACTGTACCATGACAAAAAGCATACATACCAATATTTTAATAACATTTTACTTTTAACACAAAATGAAAGTTGAAGCCTTGCTTGTCCTAAGTAACAGATCTTCAAAAATAACCTACGAACTGATATTAATCATCAATAAACTACCTTTCCATTAATATTACAAAAATATATTTAATGATTAAGTTTAAAATGTATCAAAACAACTGTAATGATTTGAAATGGGTTAACCAGCATCTGCAGTTAACAACAGTGCAGCTTATTCTGAACAAATAACTAAATTATACAGAAAAGAAACAGTGAAACTACATTAGCAAATTTCCAAAAATAGAGATTTTGTAATGAACTTAACCAGTAATAATACTAACCCATGACCAGATGGTGCAATGAAATAGAGACAGCACTGTATTCTAGAGTCTTCTATAGTTCCACGATGAACCATGGATTCTGCATTCAGATATTCTTGATATTTACTTTCAATGTAGTTTATTACTGGTTGCCAACTATGAGAAAGAAAAATATCAAAGAATTTCAAAAATTATAAAACATGACATACAGCTTATGTAATGTTGGTTTATTACTAAAATTATTGGTAATTTTTACCCATTTTATTTAGTTAAACTTGTGAAAACATTTTTTTTAAACATTTCATTACACAGTTTCATTTTCATTATACTTTTTCAGTTTCTTTCACAGTTATTAGCAGGTCTACTTAAACTAAAGTGATAAAAAAATACTTCCTACTCTTAATAAATTTTTTTAAATTTCTTTTACCAAAACCTACCAATTACTGTTGTCTACAGCATCACCAAACCCTGGTGTGTCCACGATTGTAAGGCTTAAGTTCACACCATTCTCTTTAAGGAGGACCTTTGTTGTTTCAACCTGGAAGAAGGACACAGAAATTATTCTCTTTTCTTATAGCTTTCATTGAAGGTTTCTTTGAAGAATAATGTCTCCCCAACATAAATATTTAACAAACACTTACGCAAACACATGCTCGTGCAAAACACAAAGTAATATACAGTATTACATCCCAAATAATCCTTATATTTTTCAATATCAAAAAGTCAGTATAAAAATCACATCTCTTTTTCAAAATGGAAATCTATATAATATACAAATATATATAAAACCTTTGATACTCAGAAGAAAAAAAAAAAAGACATATTTTTGTCAATCAGTTTTGAAATCTAAATATTTAATTTAGTTTTTTTACTTCTATTGTTTTCTTCACCCTATGGGATGGACCAGGATATTCGTTTGAATAAATATCAGTCAGAAACATGGAATTAATTAGGGTTGACTTCCCAAGGCCTGATTCTCCTGTGAGAAAAAAAAAAGAAACAAAAACCATAATTAATAAATTGCTGACATTTCATCTGAACATTCTAAAACACTAATATTTATAAGTACATTTATGATACAGAGGTTTTTATGTATTGTAAAACATTAACCTTTATAAGTAGTTTTATCTTACTGAGGTTTTTATAAGTACATTTCTCCTGTCAAAAGTATCCAGAGACACCTTGAACATGTGGTGTTTGCAGGTAAAACTAATTTTTACTAAGAGTGACAAGAGTAACACAAGATTTGTCAATATATATACACAGAGAAACAATTCTTTATCTTCTGATCAACTGAGTTCATGAGAACTAAAGAGAGATTGAATACAAGCATGTACAATCACAAGGAACAGCCTTAAATAAAATCAAACACAGTGAAAATACACATTCTACTTGGCCACAATGCCTCTACTGGACAGTTAGGTTTGAAGATATTCATTTTCAGCTCTGATTGTAGAAAAAACTAACTTTGGCGATCTCCTGTTCCAAACTGAAGAAATTTCATGTTACTTACTTAAATCTGTAACATCTGACTTATTCAGGGTAACTAGCCCTATGATGTGACACATCATTATTGATGAAACATGAGAGAGGTCATCTGACTGCCAGTAGAAAAAGACAGCTGTCTAGCTTCACATACTAGGAATGACCTTCAGCTATCTTTCCCATTGGAAGAAAAAAGATGCTACTCTAGGTGAATGACACATAACAATAAGTAGTAGATCAAAAAAAAAAACTTAACTTTCTTGACAATCTGTCATGTTGAAACTGCACATGCCTACACAAATAAACTTTGAACATTACTATATTAACACAATGAGTTTGTTGTTGTTATATTAGTACAAAGCTTTGAAAGAAAATTTTGTAATTATAAACATATCAGGAAGACAGATTAGCAGCAATGAAATACCAGTGCATACAAGATAGCAAAAACATAATGAATTTCAGAGAGAAGAAATTATAGACTGCTATAAGGGTGGAAAAATAACCACGTGTATTAATTCCAAAGCTCAGTCATGCATGATATATTGTGCACGAGGCCATTCAATGCATCAGAAAGGACAGTACCTAACTCAGGTCAACCAAAAGTGCTGACAAGAATCAATTATTAAGATTGTCTGAAAATGCCAAACATGGTTTTTGTAACAAATTTACATAAGAATGGTCACCATATACGAGATCTGTGTAGCATGTTACCTGTCAGTGTGGGTGTTTTGGTAGGGTTGAGATATTATGCATCACTCCTTAAACGCAAACATCATTTTACTTTGTGTAAAGTTGTCAGTACTGGAATCTTAATGACTAGCCACAAATGTTGAAAATTAATGGGAGCCACTTCACCAGTTTTGAAGTGATGACCAAATATGGCTTTGAACACCATATTAGTCAAACAAAGTAGATGGCTTCTGTTTGTTTTGTGAATTTCGCGCAAAGCTACATGAGG